TGCAGTAACAACTTCACACTACTTCAGTGATTACAACAATGGCCAAAAGCTTCCATACACAGTCTCTTCCCAAATTATGCACCACCTTTGCACTTGTGTATTTCTGAAATTTTAACGAAAATAATACTGATTAAACATTTAAATAATTTTACGTAATTTTCGTCACAGGTTCCCTTAACGCTTATTCAACTATTAAATAGTCGGTTTTGGAAAAAAAAGAACTAAAAATAATTTGTAAACAGTTTTTATTTTCTATTCAAAGTATTTTTATAGCAAGGAAAATATAATTATTTTTTAATTATATGTAGTTTTAATTAATCAAGAATTGCATGAAAAAGATTAGTTAAGGTTAAGAATTCAACCAAAACTTTATAGTTCGATTGAAAAATGCTTATGCAAATACATCGTTTGTATGCTATGAGACAAAGTGTTAAAAGTCCCTTTTGAATCCATTGTCCTCGCGATTTAATAAAATCGCACATCGCCAACAACTGGAACCTCCCTCTCCCAACCAGAACTTTGTCTACGATTAATAAGAGCCACACAGGTTGGACATGGACATAAAAAAAATGGATGTGACTGAGTGTTGAATTGTATTCGTGTTTCGTCTTCATCGGGGTTGGAGCCACCATTCAATTCCCGCTCTTGTTTGAAATTTATTGTTGCAGATGCCCGGACGGAGATCCTTTTCCCATGTGTGGCGCATATGTTTCGCCTTTTTTGCATGCAATATTCTATTGAAATATTTGCAAATTACTGGAGGATTTCACCATCGTCCTGACAACGACGTTGATGCCGGGCCCCGGACAATGGACAATTTGCGGCACAGAATCAGGTATTTAAAATGTGCACTCCATGTGGCTCTAGTCGGGCAGATTTAAGCATATATGTAGGAAGGATGGACCATGCCTGCGAGGCAGCAGGAGGAGCTGTCTATGGTCATAATTTATTACAAGGAACAAAGTTATTTTAGGCGTTGCACACGCTCATGTTCATTTACGTATATATGATGCACTGGGTGAAAAATGTCTTTATATCAATTAAAATGGCAGGCAGGAATTTATCACAGTAAATTATAATCATAAATCATAAATATATATTTTTTAAATTATTTTATCATTACATACATATAACATTTATCTTTAATATTATTAATACTCTACTTTTATCTGGAAAAAAATTGGTTCTTCATTTTAAAATTTTTAAAATTATACAATAATATTTATTCATAAACCACGAACTTAAAAGTTATTAATAATACAATTTTTATTTATTAACTTATTTTGTAAGCACTTCTTATCTCAGTGTAATAAACGAGCACATATCCTTTGTTCTGCTTGCCGAGTTGGACCATTCATTAAATAAAATAAAGTTAGCTTGTAGTAATTGTCAACGACAGTTTGATGTTTTTGTGAAATATTACAAGTAAATTGTTTTGCCGGCAGCTCCTTCGACCCATGCATATTTCCAAGATCCTGCCAGAATAAGAAAATATATTCAGGACGGGCCTTTTATTGACAGTGTTGCAATTTGCTAAATTCGATTACATCATGCATATGAAAATGCCTGCCAAGCGGCGATGATGTATGACCTAACCGTTTTGGCCATGATTAATGATTCGCTCTGTGATTGTTACCAAAGCAACGGAATTACGACGAAGGCAGCGGGAGCAGGAGGAGTCCTCAATTAAGTATGCGGCAAGGTCAAAAACCAGAGCAAACTCAATTAATATAAGCGACGGGTCAACAATCAACAGTCAACAAGACCGCGACAACCACTTCCACTTTTCATGCGACGCATTTCAATGGCCATAAAACGCAGCTTTAAAGCCGGCTTACGTCCTTGGCCATCCGTTGTTTTCGCCTCGGTGGGCGTGGCAATGGGCGTGGGTTGCTGAGGTCGCCATTTTACTAATTAAGTAAATATTTGCGAAGCGCTCTCCGCGGGTCCTCCGTTTCACCGTTTCTAGTGGCAAGTTATCTGGAATTTTGCACGCCCGATGCTTGGAGACGAAAACCCGTATCGCCTATCCCGTGGCTACCACAATAATAGACCCTAAGAGTAATTCCTTGTCAACACACTCATAAATAATGGACTGAGTTGAGCTGGACCTGGACGGCCCTCCTTCCCATTTTTCCACCTGCTCCCCACCATCAGCAGCGTCATCATCATCAGCATTGTCGGATTCAAGTGGCCAGGTACAGACAAAGGCAAAGTATTTATCATAAGCAGGGCTAAAATTGGCTTAGTTCTGGGTGAGGCACTTCTGTTTACCCTAGCCTTCGATATTCATTATATTATTTTCCTGGGTTTTCAAATTGTAGTATTTGTGGTCTTCTATTTAATTTGATCATAAATGATACTATTAAAAATGTGTGTTAAGACATTTTAGGTAATTAAAAGTCATACAAAAAGGTTTCACGATTATATAACAATTATTTAAAAGAGTTCATTTTCAATATTATATACAGCTTAAGCAAACAATTACCCATTTCGAGGGCATCCGAAATTTGCAGGAGCTTTTTTATAGGCGACAAATTTATCAGTGCCACAAAATGAGTTTCACTGACGAAGTTTCCTCCGCCCCTCGGTTTTCACCTGGCGACGATTTGTCATCTTTTAAATACAACAACAGCGCAGAGTGAAGTGAATGGCTTCAGAGAGCAGGACGAAGGACAAAGGACATGGCAATAATGCGTCGCAGCATAAATTTTATTTATTTTATAAGCGCATAAAGCTCTTGCCATGGTCGAGAAGAAGAGGTGTTCTCTTGGACAGTGAAAAAAAGAACTATCGAATTTAATATGGAAATATGGAAATTAAAAAATAATTTTAGATATTCTCAATTAGTTAAATGATAAATATTATTATATTTTCTGCCTATTTCAGAGTTTCTGGTAAGACCATACTTTTTTTAATGTTAGTTCATATTTTTTCTCTCAGTGCCAGGACCTGCAGAGGCGAAAAGTAGTCCCTCCTTTTACATTTTTAGCCCGATGGCTGGCAACTTTGTTTGTCTAATACCTGAGATGCTTGGCCAACACTTTGTTGCCGTGGCGCGGTATTCAAAATAGGTTTTTAGTAGACTGTCCTGCAGGAGAGAAATGCCGGCAGCAGTGCCACGCCCTCGGTTATGAATGGGCAGTACGCCCACGAGACCGGCCACGCCCCCGCCACCGTTAAGGAAACTGTGTGTGACTTTGCGTGATATGAGCAGCAGCGTCTCAGGATCTTAGCATCGCAGCCACTTCATGTCAGGCTTTGAGCGTAATTTTTCTTGGGGAAAGGAAAATAACTTGAGCAGCATCACTAAACGAGCTTTTTACGCTGCCCTTGTTAAATAAAAAAGGAGGAGGAGTGGGGGGCGAAATAAGGTGCGGGGAGTGGGAGTGTCGCTGATGTCGTGGCAACGACGCGCTTGTAAAAGTTGAAAGATTTGCATAAGTAATTTGACAAAATGTAGTTGACAGTAAAAAGCAGCGCGCCATGCACACATGCACGCCGAATGCCACCGACAAAATGATATGGCCAAGGAGTGAGTGGCTTTCTGGTGGGAGGGGGATAAAGGGGGAACGGACCAGCTGATGACAGCCAGCGGTTTGGCCAACAGGCAGGCGCAAATCTCCCCCACATGATGGGGCAATCTTTCTTACTTATAAACCCACGAGGAAGCAGCAGCCATTTCATTACCCCAAATGAGAAATGTGACGAGAGCACTGACAATAGAGGTAATAGCAAGTGAAGAAATATTTTGAAATTTAAGGAAAGACCGTAAAACTAGTAATATTTGTTAAAATAATATTAGCTTTCTTAATAAATAAATAATTAATTCTAGTAAATAATAAGCAATAATAAGTTTACCTTTACACCAACACTTATTTTTCTACTACTACTACTATTTCGAATTTGAGTGCTCAGTCGCAATAAATATTGATAGTAATAAAAACTTAACAACCGTGACATTGTCAACCATCAAATCGACACAAGAAATGTAGGTTATGTAAACTAGGATTTGAAGCCGAAGGAGTGATTACCCTTTCTTATTAGCTGTGACTTTTTATTATTTTGTATGCAAAAAATAAATAAATATTGTTTATTTACTATTTATAAAAATATTTTTATAATATGTTTAATTTAGCTTCGTGCTAGTCAATTACAGCAACCCTTCGAAGAGAATCAGAAAATAAAAAGTACAACTCGTAAAGCGCACATCAATTTGGCATAACGGAAGCATGATATGCGCGCATAAATTTTATGCACTCCGACACCACAAAAAGCGGTAATGATAATGTCGTGTCGCGTCATAAAAATGCGATACTCGTACACCCCCGTTCGCCCAAAAATAAAAAAGGTGAGCACCCCAATAACAAACGGAAAGGGGAACTGAAAAAATGTGGCTAAACAAAGTGCGACGGGCCACAAAAGCTCGCGTTAAAATGTATCTATGCATCCGTTGGCGATTGGCAGCAAAATAAGTGTGTTGCTAAGCTTTCTTTACAGTGCACTGGGAAAAATACTTATTAACCGTAGCCATCAAAATGTGCACATCTATAATAATAAAGGTATGTTAGCACAAATTTCATTTTATAATCACTGCTAAACAAAAGTAATTTAATTTATTATATACAGGTTATAGGCAAATTTTAATTATCCCTTAACATAAGTATAAATAAATAGATAAGTTTAATATATTACAAAAAAATAGATTAAAAATTTAGCCTAGGCCATAATTTCTGCAAATAAAAATTTACTCTATTTATTTTCATATTTACACAAGCATTTGTTGTGGAATCAATCCATAAGATATCGAAATATTGTGATAAGATAACGGTGGAAATCCTACTTTCTCCCAGTGCTTTTTGTTAGTTGGGTAAGGACGCCGCTTATGGCAATGACGATGGGATGTGGGTGTGGCTCGGGCTTGGAAACTATCCACAGCTGCAACGGGTGAGTGGTTGCCCCGGTGGTGGTGGCTTTTCCTCATTCGTTGCCAACGCTCCGCACACGCGACACGTGCGTGGAAAACTCCGTATTGCTGCGACATTGTGCATTGTGAAAAGTTGAAACCGTTGAAACTGTTGCAGCTGGAATAAAATAATAATAGACACTGAGTGTCAGCAGCTGCCGGGAAAGGTAAAAAGTGTGGCAAAGAAATAATCGACATGTCTGTTAATTATGGTGAAAGTTTTCCCGCACACACATGTCGCTCCTTTTGCTGTGCTGGCTCTTCTTTTTCGCTTTCACATATATTTTTTTTCGTATTTTTCGAAGCGACAGCTGGCGTTGTCAGTGGCCGATACTTTGCTTGTTAGCGAAACAAGCGACATGTCGTCGCATCACTATATTCCGTACATCCGCAACAGTTTCAGAATCTGGTGATTCGTGTCATAAAGACACGCACAAATCATTCTTAAACTCAGCCAGGTCCCCGGGTCCTTCGGCCGGCTTTTAACGTTGTCCTTGCTGCCTTTTGCTTAACTCGCAATTTATGGTTAATCGATGTTGTCTTTGAACGTGACCTATTTGCTTTATTTGCTGTAGGTCTCCTGCCGTTGTCCTGTATGCTGTGTGTCGCCATTATCCCTGTCGCACTCAGAGTCCTGCTGACGTGTTAAATCGTCTTTTTGTTTACCCTTACCCTCAATAAAGCCATAATTTATTTTTCATGTTCTATCGCAGTTCGTTAGCATCTCTTCCTTTCGGCTTTCTACTTTTTTTCCTCCTCGTTAGCTGGCATTTCACTTTTTGCATACGTGGCGTATGCGCTATATTATATGGGATGGCCAAAGAGCTCGGGGGAAATCGATACTCTGGACGACCTTGACTTCCGGCAAGGATGCTGCAGTTTGCCATTGAAGGTGCATTTGTTGCCCGGCAACATTTGTTGCCAAGACTTTTACCCGGGGAACCCCCTTAAAGAAAGCTTTGAACTTTGATAATGTGTAGGGTATTACTTAAAATATATTATTTAAACTATACACTTCGTTCATTTAACGATCATTTAATTTAAAAACAAGAGAGAACGCTATAGTCGGGTTCGTGTCCCGACTATCTAATACCCGTCACTCGGCTAAAGGGAGTGCGAGGGAGATGGATATATATTTTTGGATTGCGTATAACTTTTTAATGAATGGTCCGATTTAAAAAATGTCTTCTACATTTCGATAGGTATAAATATACACAACAAAATTGCATTTATACTTCTCGGAAATCTTTAAAGGTGTGACCGCCAGGCACATTTTAAAATCGTTAGTGGGCGATTGTGGGCGTTAGAGGTGGCGTGGCGCTCGTCTGAAATAAACTTGCGCTGCGTAGGAAGCCCAAGAATATGTGTGGAAAACCTCAACCTTCTAGCTTTTATAGTTTCTGAGATCTCAGCGTTCATACGGACAGACAGACAGACAGACAGACGGACAGACAGACGGACAGACGGACAGACGGACATGGCTAGATCGACTCGGCTAGTGACCCTGATCAAGAATATATATACTTTATGGGGTCGGAAACGCTTCCTTCTAGCTGTTACATACTTTTGCACGAATACAATATACCCTTTTACTCTACGAGTAACGGGTATAATAAATTAGACAGCAAATTGGTGAATATTATTCTTTCATATTAAATTCAAATAAATAGAAAAATACCAATATTTCTTTTTTGGAATTTAAAGTTGAAATATATAATAGTTCTATACTAGGCGTAAATATTACTTCTTATTGCCCGCTTTTCCCTCTCTCGCCGTATTATTCATTTGAATGCCGACTTTTTTCCAGTGACCTGTGACCGAATGGCGTGTGGCATCTAAGGACACTAAAGTGCCACCTGGGGCACCTAATTAGGGCACCGTTCATTACTCACGCCGCATTAGTCGTGACTGTCTAACTGACTATCTAACGGGGTCATCGGGAGTGAGACTCCCAGTGGATGTATAATTATACTATATACATATAAAAAAAAAATTGGAATAAAAGCTTTGTGAGGTTGTTTACTTAGTCCCGACATGCCAGTTATTCAAATCACATCAATCGATGTTATTTCCCCGGCCTCAACAGCCTTTCTCTCGCTCAAGGCTTCAAGCTTTCCCCGAAACTCTGTATTTTCGTTGCCTACTAAATAACCAAATCAATGTTATTGATTCGAAAGACAACCATTTGACAATTCAGGGTCTGTTTACTTCATTACCGGCGATGACTAAATGAATCAATAAATCAAAGGAAATTACTATTGCAGGTCAAGGATGATTTCAAATCAAAAATAAATAAAGATAAATGTAATCCTTGAAAGCTCAGCTAACAGCTTAAATCAGAATAAATATTTATGAAAATAGTAGGTACCATGCAAATAAGGACGCTGCTAACTTCATTGATATTTAAAAAATCCTTCTTAATCAGTCTCTTTGAGTATTCCCTTGTTGTTATTATATTAAATCACAAGGGGCTCTAAAATTCATGAATGAATTCCAATTTAATGTGATGTTCTTTGCTAAATCTAAAATGTTGCCACATTAAACCAATCAAGATTAATTAAATTCTCGCGTATTTACAAGTTAATTCCGCAGATGTATTCATCGCAAATGCATGCACATATCGAGATGAAACTATTATTATTGCGCAGTGACGCGCGAAATATTGAGGTGAGTGCACACACTTACCCTCTCCGGCTGAATTGAGTGCTAATCAAACTAGTTGGACCTCGAGTCGTCACAGTTCATTGAGCGAAGTGCCACCTGGTCAGAGCTCAACCCCGCTGCTCGACTATCTATTCAATCGAATGTGAGCACAAAGGTGGGCAAACGTGGGCGTTCTTAGCCACACGGTCAGAAAAACTTTATATAAGGTGTGGTACAAGATTACCTTATAATTTGTTTAAACGAAGTACAAATATTTCGTTTTAAATATTTTTAAAAATGGATTAAAGATTAGTAAACATTTACACAATTATAAACGCAAGTTTATTTTATAAGTTTAATTAGAGACTTCGACGAATTAGATAAAATAAATTAAATAAAATAAAATAAATAAAATATATGATTAGTTACTCTTATCCAAACGTATAATATCTTTTGCAGTGCATGCGTATTTGAGCAATGAAACTGTTACCAAAACATCAATTGTCTCGAAAATTCTTTCATCAAGACTCCTTTTAAAGCTGAGCTGTTGGAGAATATTTAAATTTCACAAGTTTCTGTTTGACTGAGATCCACAATTAAGATGGCAAGCCTTTGGATGCATTGAACCGTGAATGGAATGCGCCATAAGTGACTGGCAAGTCATATTTGGCCACATTCATTTAAAATGTAAATCAACTCGGCAAATTACAAAGCCCTTTCGGTTTCTTAGAGACACTCGACGACGGCTTTGTACACCACCTTCTGGTGTAATTAGGCGCCTTTGAGCAAAAGTAAATCAATTCCGGGTGTAATAGCCCTCGGCTATGGCTGTCGCAGCCTGGCAACCGACGCCCATTGAGTTTTCCGGCCAGAAAAGTATTTGCCGGGCTGACAACTATTATAGCAGCATAAACACAAAAATTAAATATCAAACAAATTCACATTAATCGCCCGAGGGCAATTGACAGCTTAGAAGCGAGCTTAGGCACAACAAAGGGAGGCGAAATGTTAATTAAATCCACAGAAAAACAAATGGAGGAATGATAAACATTTTTCCTATTAATTTTCGAATCCCAGGCAATATTTAAATAGGAAATGATGATTTGCTTTGCACATGAAAATGTTTTGACTTTATCAATGAGGAATGTAAGCACTTAAAGATTTTACCATTAAAGTAACCACATTAAAGAAGACTTGCTTTTGTTTTCCTAATCTTCAAAGGATTTGAATTTGTGCTTTTATCTTCCGCAGATGCAACGAGAGAACGCCTACACCAAGGAGGCCGCCCTGAAGAATCTGGCGAGGCGCGAGTTGGCCAACGGGTTGGACAAGGATCCAATTTACAAATTGCGCCTGCAGTGCTTCAGTCGCGGAGCTACCGGCATCTTGGGTCTGTCCAGGTGAGTTGGGCCTGGCCGAGAACCCCTTTGCCCGCGATTCAATGAACTAGCTTGGCAAAAAATCAGAGGCTTAGGCTTAGCTAAGCCTCACTGTTTGCATAATGGTGCTCCAGTTGTGTATGGACCAGAACCAGAGAGCTCCATGCGGTAGATTGTTTGCTATTTGTTTCTTATCTACATACTTTTTGGTGGGGTTTGATTGAAGCGAAGTATTAATTCCCTTTCAAAAAGAAACTTCCTATAAAAATCTACATTAGCAATAAAAAGATTTTTATGATTTATCCAATGCTTTTGAATGCAATATAAATAATAATGGAAAATAGTTTGAATAACTAATTCACAGAATATAGATAGATATAGATAGATAGATATTTACGTAAGTAGTTTAAATTTAGGAGAAAGTATCCATTATATTAGCAATAAATATATAAACAATAATATCTTATCGGACTTACATCATTGCTGGTCTAGAGTATGTGAGACTTGTCCGCTTTGTTCCGTAACCCCGAAATGTGTGATATGGACAAGTGCCATATTTCGGGCACACAAATTCCCCTTTATTCACCTGAGATGCAGATGATCCCCTTGAGATGCGCAACATCCCTGAGGGGGAGTATTAAAATGATGAAACCGTCGAGGGCCCGACAAGTGACGAGACGAGAACATATAGCCGAAAGAAGGGTAGATGGAGATGGCCGGAGCTGGGCAGGAAAATATGGCAAATGAAACTGAAACTTTGCTGGCTTTTTCAGCAGCAGCGGTAGCATTCTGCTGCTGCTGCTCCTGCTGATGATGATGTTAAGTTCGGGCTCAGCTAGGCGCATGTAAATACGAGTTCGAGTGCATGTTGAACTAACATTCTCGAAAGCGCTTTCAAGTGTGTGCAGGCCGGGCAGAAAAAAGGGGAAAAATAGAAAAAACTATAACTATGACGCTCGCTGAAAGACTGAAAGGGGCGGCGGATGCTGAGGGGAGTGGCAAAAATCGCTGACTGAATGCAAACAAACATAATTGGATTTCTGCAGTTGCTGTCGACTAAAGCTACACTCTAAAAAATAATATTGGGTCGATCAAATTTGATTAAAGGGTTATTCATTTTTCTATTTTTATTAAACATAGGTAAAACGTATCCTAAAAATAGAAAAGTGTTTTTAAATTATTTATTTATATTTGAAATTAAAAATATCGTAAAATAATTTATTTTTTTTAAATCAAAATAAATTTAATTATATTTCCTGAGCTATGATTAATAAATTCCTGACAGTGCAGCGTCCTGCCACGCCTCCTTTCCACAATCCCCACAGCGTTCAGCTCAGCCCACTGTTAGTTTTTATTTCAATTTGAGCTGCTAGCAGAGGAGAAAAACCGCTGCCACCTGTCCCGCCCACTGGAAACCACCCACCGCCTCCGCCTGTTTTTCCCGCCCCGGCTGTCTGCTAACAATTTCCCGCTTTGAATATATAGACATTTTGTACAAAATCCTCGCATCTGCAACATATGTACGATGTACGGTGTGTGCATTTGTTTGTTTGTTGGCTTGTCGGTCGGATGGTGGCTGCGCCTATTGGCCTCGTCCTCGTGAGCGCGCATTTTCATTTGTATTTATGCAATTTGTTTGTTTGCCAGCCGGAAAATTCAATGCATCGAATGCATAGCTGAATGAGCCCCCCTACTCCGCCCACTTCCACTTTTCCGAGTATCTATCAATGGCATATTCTTATCCGGCTCGCTTTGTCCCGTGCCAATAATAGGAATATATTTTCATTTTGCCATTCATATTGAGAATTATTTTTGCCGTTCTCGTTCTCGTTTCTTTCATCTTTTTCTTTTTTTGCATTTCCAGATCATTTCGGGTGATGGACGACGATGGCAGCAAAACTCTCAGCGCCGAGGAGTTCAAAAAAGGAGTCACGGATATTGGTCTGGAGCTGAGTGATTCCGAGATAGACGAGATGTTCACCAGGTTGGTATTTGCCAATTTAAATTTGAATGGATTAGGGGATAAGTTGTCGGAGCTCTAGAACCTATGCTACAAAATTAAATAAATATTTTTTTGGAACAAGACCCTTTAAGAAAATTAAAGGGATTTTAAATAAATCAATTATTTGCCCTAATTCACAGCTTCGACACAGATGGAAGTGGCAATATTAACATGACAGAATTCCTGGTAAAACTGCGGGTGAGAAAACCTTACATTTACAAATGAATAAAAAAAATCTTTTATATCGTTTAAATTATTTAGCCTCCTATGAATAATTCGCGTATCAGCATTATCGAAAAGGCCTTTGATAAGATGGATGCCGACGGCGATGGCCAAATAACTGTGGCCGATTTGAAGAATGTCTATTCGGTGCGCGATCATCCAAAATACCTGAGTGGCGAGATGACAGAGGCTCAGATTTTCACGGGATTCCTCAAGAACTTTGAGGTCGGCGCTCCGAATCCGGATGGCATCGTGACCAGGGAGGAATTTATCAATTACTATGCCACTATCAGCGCTTCGATCGATAACGATGCCTATTTCGATCTGATGATGCGACGCGCCTACAAACTCTAGATTGTGTTCCTCTTAGAAGTTAAAAGTTTAACGTCCATTTGCCGTCTTTGAAGCTTGATCCGTTGATTAAATTGCGCACATGTAATAATAACTAAACGCCAGGCCAATGTTTTAATTAAATTTACTAGTAATGTTGAAATCTAAATCGACCTTTTTTATTTAAAATCAATGGGTTTGAATTTTATATTATTTCCTTTCAACCTTAAATTGTTTTAAAAGCACCCACTTTAATTCAAACATTTAGAAATGAAGCTCTCTATCAGTTGATTTGGGCTTTAAACCGCTTTAACTAACCTAATCTTTGGCTTTAGCCAGCGATTTGCGAAATGACAACGCAAATCAGTCGAGCCGTAAACATTCCGATGGCCCGCCCCCCTCAACCACCCGAGTTTCGTGTAGTTTTGGCCAAATAATGCGCTATAATAATTTATTAAATTAAAGCCGCGTGCTAATTAGCATAAAACTAATTAGATTACTTGTACAGGCGAAGCCGCAAAGCACGGCGTAACACTCGCTGAACGGGCGACAGAGTTGGGTTTGGAATTGGGTTTTCAGTTTTCAGGCGGATACGCGGCGTATGCGCAATCGTTAGCTGTGTTTTTGTCGCTTTTAATAAAAGTCAGTTTGGCAAAAAGTCAGGCCAGCTAACACAGACAGAACAAATAAGCCTGATTAGCCCGTGTTTGTATGGGTGGCGGTGTCTGTTACTGCGTTTATACGATTCTCATGTTGCAAAGCTTTTCAACAAGCTGTCAGAAATGCTTCATTCGATTTTCATTAGAATTTCAATGACGGTGATTGGATCAGGGAAAAGAAAAGCCATGACCTTTGGAATGTTCAAATCAAGCATCACATGCTAATTAGCACAAATAAGAAATATTCCCGCTTTTCGCAAATTGTGAATAGAGAAGAGCGTGGCATAAACATACGCCTTAAAAAATGCGAGTATTTTTTGCCACATTTATCCGAAGTTCGGGCCCCTGGAGACGAACTCTTGCCACATCCACAAAACTTGTGGGTCTTCGAAACGCCAACCAAGTGCTTAATTAGAGGCTTATTAGAGCGCTGACGACGGCAATTGCCAAACTCTAATTACATTCATTTCGCATCGATGATAAGAATACCACATCTGATTATAAGCCGGGCAAACAAGACTTAATATCCAGTGATATCGATAACAGCTAGGCAAACGTTTCGGTCTCGGGCTGATTATGCAGCCAAGTTTTTGTATGCCATGTAGACAATGTTAAAAGTTTGCCCAAGTAATTAAATCACTTCGATCTTTGCTAATTACAAGCCAAGAACATACATTTAGCAGCTTCGTGCTTCGTGCTCCATTTCGTGCCTACACTCAGAAAATGAATCGCCCTGAATTTTAGAAAATCGCCTATGGATTTGCTTCACTGGCGATTTTTTTCTTTAAAATAAAAAAATTTTCTACTGGTAAAGAAAATTTTCTTCCAATTAATCAAAATTCATTAAATTCAAGAAATATTCCAGAAATATAGAAAAAAATCGCCAGTAAAGCAAATCCATAGGCGATTTTCTAAAATTTTTTTTTGAGTGTATGAGGGGGTGTTTGTATCTGTGTGCCTATGTCTATCCGGGCCGTAAGTGTGAGTGGGTATCTGTGTGTGTGCAGCTTGTTAGACAAAGCCCGGCATCACCGACATCCTCATCAGGCCAAAAGGGCCAACAGCGGCAGCAACAACAATGTTGACAAGTTACCTGCCAAATTAATGCAAACATGAAACGTGCGGCAACGGGAATATTAATTAACTAACTACCTGGGACACTCACACTAATGCCCACAGATACACACGTAACACTGTCAAGAGCACTGCGAGAAATAAGACGTATGAATAAAGGGTTAAGAAAAAATTTTTTATTAGATTTTATTTAATATAAATACATTTTGGGCGAGAAAGTTCTAAATAAAATTAAATATAATTTATGTATTTTTCCGTAATTCAGAGAAAGGGAAGTTGACAAGAAGTGGGTGAAAAAGTCTCGAAGTGAGGAGCAAAAATATCATAATTTTTATTATATATTTTATTAATATAATATTAAAATGGTATAAATAAAAGTTCATTCACTTTAAAATTCATCTATTACTAAAACTAATTGAAATATTTTCTTTAAAATGTGAGCACCCAATGAAATTTAATAATCTTTATTTTTACTATAACTAATATTTTTCTCAGTGCAGCTACGAGCTTCCAGATCTGTCGGCCTTTGGCCTCCGTGTGTGCCTCGTGTTGGCAGTTGGCACTTGGCATTGTCAGATTTGAAGGCGCATTCCCGGTTACATAGCCGGCTTTGCTAACTAACCTGATCCCCGATCCAAAATAATTCCGACCGCTGCCAAGTGGCGTATGATTAATGAACGTTTCATTAGCGCGACTGGCATTACATACGCCGTTTGCCTGGCAAGGAAGCAAAAGGAAGTATTTGCATTTCGGCATGTTGCCGAACGTGATCACAATATTATCTCTTCATCAGCAGCCTGTCCGATGCTGTAAAAAAATGCGGAAAAATGCCAAGAGCCCGAAAAAAATGTGTATGTCTGCAGGAATGGGGAATATTAAGGGGTTTTATATCCAGAAGTAAAACTATATAGGCACATATAGTTACTAATATCCGCGTTTTATCCTCTTTTTGAACGAACTCTACTCACCAGTCGTTGGCCATGTTCGAATCCTTTTTGCGGTGTGTCGTGTACTTGTTTTTCTTCGGCTACATGTCGATGGGTGGCTCGTGGGGTGGTAAGTAAAACTGGCTTTTCTTCCCCAATTTTAACTACCATGGCAGCCGCTAGCGTTAACGAGCTACAATGATTTTCGTGCTAATTAAAATGGTTTTTGCATTCAGTTTACCGCATTAGCATTTCGTTTAGCAGTTGAGCAAACACCTGCAACATAAATTACGCATACGCAGCGTTGCCGACGAAAACGCTGGGCAAAAAGTATGTTCACCACGTCGTGTAATGAACTCCCATATTTGCCATAGTTTTGGTCTCTTTTGTCACCTGTCTTCCCATCTGACTTTCTAGTTTCCCACTCAAATCTCTGCATTTTACGGTGCAGCCCAATTAGATGTTTCCGATGGTTTGACAGCTACGGCTGACAGGGACTAAGCTCGTTAGTGGTTTTTAATTACATGTTTCTAGGCATTTTTCAACTGATGCATTGGTTCTTCGTTTGGTTAAATAAACCTTAGGAGCACTTAGAATCTATTTGGCTCCTTCAAACACTTCTCATTCTCTTCTCGATGTTTCAGCTGAGACACCATTTCTAAAATTAATACGTAGACAGAAATGGAAAAAAAAATTGTATATGTTTTTAGCATTTGGACCAATAAAAGTTTATCAAGAATTTTAAATATTTAATTTCGAAGTGTGATACTTCTAGACAATTTTTTCCCTCTGTGCATCCGACAGATATGCACTCGTTTAATATCAAAATCCAACTTGACTAAACTGCTGCCACTTATGGCCCAATCTAAGCGAAGTTATACTCCCGAAAAATGGCTTACTCGATGCTCCGGGCACATGCCGTAACACGTGTTGCAAAGTTTTTAGCCAATTCGGATAAAGTTATATTTGGCCAACAATAAGCAAATGCGAGGAATGCTCTCAAGTATTTTGAGAGCTCCTAATGCAAGGCATTTTATTGTTGGCACACACACACTCACGCTTACGGGATTTGGCAGCTCGCATGCTGGACACGTGTAAAAGTTCAGTTTTAAACACTTGCAAACAAAATGTTTTCGATTTTTGAAGCGTTGCTCGCTTTTGTTTTATGAATCTCAGCTTCTTTTGGGCATGTGTGGCCCACAAAACGCACGGCAGAGAAATCCCCAGAGCAGGGAAAAACTTTTAGTTTCGTATCGCCCACGTTTACTGTCAATAAAACTTTGCTTGAGCCGGCAGAATGAAAACAGAGCAGAAATCCCTTAAAAGAAATATTACATTCAGAGAGTGGGGGTGAAACAAACATGGAAACAGGATAGATTATGTTAGAGAAAAGGGGACGCAGCGCCGTGTCTTATAAAACATGCAAATGCAATGAAATTACACGTTACGTATACGCCCCTTGCTGCAGCCGGAAAAGGAGAGAAGAGAAGAGAAGAGAAAACAGCAACAGCAGAAGAAGCAAACTTCATACACCAAAGGATTATGCAAAATTATGCTAAAAAAAGGAGGGAATAGGGGAAAAGGGAGCAGCAATGTGAAAAGCAAAATCCACGCACATTAAATTAAAGTGCTTTCAATAAAGTCGAATCGTGACTTTGGCGCTAATGACGAGGACAAAGGACGAGTCGGCAAATCTCTCTTAGTGCTTGACAAATTGACTTGCAAATCCCCTTTTATTTTTTCTTTGCTTTATTATTATTATATCTTTGATTCGGTGCAAGTATTTCATAATTTTCGATGGGCGTAGCCGAAGCGGATGCCGCACTAAAAGCGCACTCAGCTCAAAGACAACCAGCGGAAATAGTTGGAAAAGCGGGTTGGCAAAAAAAGTATTATACTGCTGGTACACTCAGAACTATTTCTGGGAAAAGTACATACCTACTTTTTAACAAAAGAAATTGATATATATTTTGATTTTTATCATTCTGAATTTAGTAGTTTTAGTTACAAAAGAAATTTTAAGATCAATTCTTAAAGGAAAACATAATTGAGACAATATTTTTATCAATCCCATTCTAAATCAACTGACACTAAAGCAAATACTAAAAATATTTTTGTGAATAGGTAAATTGAATTTTAGTTTAACAAATAATGCAAAAAATTATTTAGTAAATTAAAAAGGATAAGTAAAATTGAAAACGTTCAAGAAATTTTAAATTAATATAAGTCGGAAGACATGCAACATTTTCTCATTCCTATACCTCATTTTTCCTCCCAGTGTGCGAGTCCTGCGAGTACGTGCCACGGGCCAAACAAAACACGCGACCCAGACGAGTCATAAGCAGCTGAAAGCAGGATTTCGGAGGGGATGAGTAGGGGCTTGAGCCGTTTTGGTGGCCGACAATGACCCGGGAACGTGGGATTTGGCGGGGAGGAAAGAGGGCAGGGGCCAAAAATGAAAGCCGCAGCCAGACGACCGCCATTTATAGCGAATGGATTCG